AAATTATTATTATTATGATAGATTTAAATAAATTATATATTTCTCTGGTTTTGGTGACCTTGGATGGAAAAGATAGCACTCCTGTAATTAAACAGCAACACCAATAATAATAATAATAATTATTATTATTATCTATATAATTATATTTTATAATTATTATTATTTATTCATTCATTCATTCCTCCACTGATGTCTGATGACATTCCTATCTCTCTTACTGACTGACTGGCCTTGTTTTTCTCCTAGTATTATTGCTGTAAGAAGAATGGATCCGATCCAGATGCTGTTTGCCCACAGCCCCAGTTTGCCTGCAACGCATGCAGCACATCCAGGATGGACGGGGCCGCTTCCACCCCGCTCTCCCTGTCACCGGAGCTCACGCCCCCGCAGAGCTTCTGCCCCACCTGCTCCCCATACAGCTCTCCATTCTACATCAGCACCACGGGCGAAACACGGAACGGGGCCGAATGCACTGCTTACATGCCGTCCCTGTCTCTCACCCTTCCCTCTCTGCACAGCCGGCCGGACCTCTACTCCAACACACGTGCCATAAGCACTGATGTCTGATCAGTGACGTCCTCCGAAGACACCCTTAATGTTGTAAAAACAGAGCGAATGGGGACCAAAGGACAGCCAGTACTCAGTTTTTACATTTTATTTGTCTAGCAGTAAATTGAAGTCAATAATCCTATATAATGTTTTATAGAAATTGATACAAATTTGTTCTTCCTGAATTTATTTGACTCTAATTAACACTGAAAAATTGTATTAGTCTGTGTTTTTGTCTTGTTTGTAAATCTGAGCATATTTAAAACAAGGTAAACGCACTTGCGAAGCAAAGTTGTGCAAGATAAGGCTTGTTTTTCATCTTGAATTAGTTTTTTATGTTTAATATTTTCCCCCTTATTTTAGTAGACTTCACTGAACTAAAAGTTAGATTTGTGCTAAAACAAGAAAAAAGCTGCCTTTTTCAAAAACTGTGGAGAACGATAACAATGAAATAAACAAAATGAAAACAAATAAGCAATTATTTAAACAACCAATAATAATAAATAATAAATTAAATAGTAATAATTAAGTATTCTCTGAAGATAGGTTTTAACATCTTACGCTGTTTCGAAAGGTGTTTAAATGTTTTTATGGAAAACAAAACAAAAATACGGATTAAGAAAACAATTGCAGTGAAGGGCTAAAACAAGAAAAAACAATCTGCTGGTTTTCAAATAAAATAAAAATGGAACAAAAACAACAATAAAATAAAAACAAACATTAAATAAACAAAATAAATATTCTTTGAAGTTTTAACATCTTATGCTACCTTAAAAGGTGTTGTCAGTGTTTTTACTGAAAAACAAGACAAAAATACTGATTAAGAAAATTTTTTGCAGTGGAGGGTAAGGGCTCCTAGTTTTCTAATATGCGACCTTCAAAAACTGTCTGGGCCTTTCTGGTATTTTAACATGTGGGCTTCCTGTAATGGGCTAATGTGTGAGGGCTATCCTACACAAGAACATTTTGTTATTGTCATTTTTAAAACAGTTTTTTTTTTTTTTTTTGCAATTCCACTTCATGCAAAAATGACACACTTCATCTTTAACTGAAAGATTTTTTAGCCATCTCTATGCAAGTTCAGTGTAATCAGTCATAACAAGGAGTGTCTGTTTAGTCCATAGCGAGATGTTTGAGGTAAATATAGTGATGTGTTTATGATACACTTTCTTTTTATTACATGCAAAAGTTTGAATATGTAAGTTATTATTCTCAGAGGCGTCATGCCCATTCAAAGTGGGCACGTGCCCCCTCAGGTTTTTGAGGCAAGTGAATTTTGCATGCAGCTTCCAAAGGACAAAGATAGCCGATTAATATTTTCTATATTTAATACAATCACACCGGCGTGATTACGTGATTAGAACGTTCAGTGCTTCATATCATCAGCTGCTAGATTCAAATCTGCGTTCGTTCGCTGGCGCTAAACCAGATTACAGACGCGTTTTTACAGCACTGCGCATTAACCAATCACACACGATGCTGTTGAGCTTATGAATGCAATGACCAATCAGAGGCGTTCAGATGAGTCATCGCTAAAATGCGGTGTTTTCTTCACTCGCTCGCTGACTGAATACCTCTTTCTGGCGAATTCTCTCGTCAGAAACAACAAAGTGCAAATGTGTCTACGAATCTGTAAGATATTAATTTCATAGTGTAAACAGCTTCAGTGCTTTTAATGGGAGTTTTTGAGAGTGCTTGAACTAGACTTGTCAGTGAAAATGTTCTTTGAAAATGTAAATGTTTTTTGCTCTCTTTCTGTACAATGAAAGTATTAGTAGCCTAACTTGCAATGTTTTTATTCACATTAACTTTCAATGTTAAATTCACATTAAATATAAACTCAAGTCAAATTAAAAATATGTTAGGGCATGACACCCATATCTGTTAATTAAGTAAACAGACAGGTTTTTTTTGCATAGTTAATATTGCATTATTAGGTTACTTTGACCATCATAGATCAACATAATCTATAAAGATGAGAATCAAGATATTTCATGATATAGT